ATAATTGATAATTGGCTGGGACAGGTGAGATGGAGAGGCAATTTGTAGAGAGTATGGTGTGGGTTCACTGCCAGGAGATTGGCTCGGAGGAGGAGAGGAGAAGGACTGAGGTTGGGGAGTTGAGTTGCTACACTGGGACGTGAAGCCAGGGGCCAGTTGGAAGGGCCAGCCAACTGATGTACCACTACATAACCCTGTGTGTGTGTGTGTGTGTGTGTGTGTGTGTGTGTGTGTGTGTGTGTGTGTGTGTGTGTGTGTGTGTGTGTGTGTGTGTGTGTGTGTGTGTGTGTGTGTGTGTGTGCAATTGTGCATAGAGTAACACACCCACATACCGAGAATCAGAAGTGAGGTCAGTTTTATTTATATAACACAAAAATCATAGATCACAGTTTTGCCTCAAAGGGCTTTACAGTCTTTACAAGATACAGCGTTCTTTAGACGCACTCACAGAAAACTTTATCAGGAAAATAAGAGGAGAAAACAGAACAGACAGATATGCAATGTATGTGGTATATACAGAGTTTTTTTAGCCTCCAAAAGAATAGTTCTGCCTCTTTTTGTTTTTCTCTTTTTTGGGGAGGTTTCAAAACTAATTTCTCCAAGAAAAAACCTCAGAGGAACTGGTACGCTGAATCATATTCTCCTCCACGCTCTAATAAGGTTGGAAAAAATGAGCTCAGCAGGCGACTGATTGATTGATCACATCATATATTCATTCATTCATTCATGAATTAGAATTAACTTCTGCGTTGAGCTGAAACAATTAGTCAACTAATCGGTTAGTCAATCGGCAGAATATAATCAACAACAATTGTAATAATCAGTTTTGTCATTTATTAAGCAAAAGAGCCAAACATTTACTGCTCGCACCTTCTCAGATGTGAGAATCTGCTGCTTTTCTTTGGTTTGTATCGTTGTAAATTGAATATATTTGGATTTTGGACTGTCGGTTGGACAAAACAAGACATTTAAAATATCACCCTGAGCTATGGGGACTTGTGATGGACTTCGACTATTATCAGACCTTTTTATAGACTAATTCATTAATTGAAATCAACAATAATCTCAAACAGTCACAATCAGGTCCTGGTGTGTGAGGAAAAAGGAAAAAGTGGGCAGCACTTACCACCACCGCCTACCACCTTTTCTGGAAGAGATACTGATTGACTGTTGGTGATCTTAAAATTTAAACTGTATGCCCTAAAATTGTTACAAGAGCCTGGTTGTCATCAGACCAAGACCATCAGTTTTTGTGCCGCTCAACACAAAATGCTTCTGTGTTACCTGGAAAAACTCTTTAATCCATTGTTCTTTGAACGCAATTCCTGCATAAATTAGGAGATGCTGTCATTCATTTTTATTTTTTAAAGTTCATTTTCTTTCTTTCAAACTGATCTCCTGTCAAAAAAAGTGCCCCCAAAAAAATGTGCACACCCTTTTCAGATGCAGTGAGTCTTGCCTACTTCTCCATCACAGGAAAAGCCAGTTTTGCCAATAATTAATACACTCCACTTGCAATTTAAATTTGATTCAGTTTTGCAGTGTTATAGATTTGAATGCTAATGCAGCGCCTTGTAGGCGAAACACCACAAGCAGTTTTGAGCTCATTAGGAGCTGCCTGGCTGGATAACCACTGGAACATCAGTACAGTAAATACAGAAAATGTTAAGTAAAACACATGTACATGCGCACAATGTTTTAGTCATGTCACATACACATAGAATACTTCTCTAACACACACACACACACACACACACACACACACACAGCTCATTGTCACATTTTTATCTCACCTCCTACAACTTCCTACCTTATTTCCTATTCCATTTAATGTTTTTTTTTCTTCTTTTATTAATAATCTATATTTTGTTGCTTTTACATGGCAGAAGATGGAGTGAGACTCATGCTGTGTGTGTGTGTGTGTGTGTGTGTGTGTGTGTGTGTGTGCGCGTGCGTGTGTGTGTGTGTGTGTGTGTGTGTGTGTGCGTGTGTGTGTGCGTGCGCTCTGCCTGGGCACTGATGGTGTGTCTGCTGGGTGCTGAGTGCTGGGCAGAGTGAGGGAGTGAAGGAGTACTTATTGATTTTGGCCACACATCTCTTCTCCTGAAAATCCCTTGATTGCTTTTGTTCTGCTCCCCGTCTCCCTCTTTCTGTCTCGCTTCCTCTAATGAAACTCCAAATGAATTGGAGCACGTACTGACTGCTCTCTTTCTCTCTCCTACTCTCTCGCTGGCCTCCTTAGTCTCTCCAACACTCTCTCTAGCTTTCCCCTCTGCCTGTCTTTGTCCCTCTTCCTCTCGCTCTCCCTGCTGATTTCTCTATTGCTCCCTTTCCCTCTGCTATCCCTCTCTCTTTCCCGCTGTCCTTATGTCTCTCTTTCTTCATCTTATGCTCCCTTTCTCTTTATCGTGTTTGTCACACTCTTTCCCCTCTGTGATCTTCTTGCCTATTTCATCCGTCTCTCTGTTTATCTATTTCCCTGTCCATCTCACCTTCTTTTTACCCCCCTCTTTCCTCTTTGTCCCACCTTTCATTTCCTCCACTCTCCTCATCCACATATGAGGAAGGTTGCCTACCAGCAGCAGCTATATCTATTCTTATAGAGTGACTCAGACACACATGAGACACTCAAATGGGCTGATAGTCCTTCAACAGTCGCTCTGTCCATTCATTCTTGGACCGATTCTTGAGGTTTTTCACCATTGATTCTTACTTTTCCTCAACGTGGTCTGTTTGTATGTGTGTGGTAGTACAGGCGTTCCCTTGGATTTTTTTCTTTTAATCCAAGGTGCTGAGACCCCCCGAGGTTACACCTGGAATAAAAGGAAAAATCTTGAAGAATCAATGTCATAGCGCTCTGAGACACAACCTTGTACCTGCTGAGGCTGCCGTGAGATAAATTAGCCCAATGAACAACACAAGCCTAGATGGAGACCGTTTTGCACACAGAGTTCACTTTACTAGACAATTGGGGCACTATTCTGCACAGAATCACATGTAAGTTTCAAATCTTTGCACCCAAGTCCCAAGTCAAGATTGGGTCAAGTCCCAAGTCATAATCTATGAGTTTCGAGTCGTAAACACCTCTTAATGTGACCACTTTGTAGTTTTTGTACACAAAATGTGTTTGTGCCTCTGAGAAGTTACGTGTCGACTCGCTGGGAATGAATAGCGTTAACATTGATCGATTCAGGATTAGGGTCATGAATTGATTTGTGGAAGACTTTTAAAGTTACAGTTTTTAATCACTGCGGTCGAGAAAAGTGTTTTCATGTCCAAGTGAAGTCACGAGTCATGGGTGTTAAAGTCTAAGTCGAGTTGTAAGTGTTTTTTGAGTTTGTGGAGTCTAAAGTCATCAAGTTTGTGACGTGAATCAGCTATACTGTCTGTGAAAACAGTTATATAATAATAATAATTAATAATTTCTGATGCTCTGGAGGAGCCACATAGAGAAGACATAGACATAAGGTGTTTGACAGGTCGGGATGGTAAACATAGAAACATAGAGCTCGACCCATACAAGGAACTAAAAGTTAGGATATATCAAACCCTCCTGCACTGATTAGTGACCATTCTTCTGTTTCCTGAACTTTATCAATGTGTAGTACCGAATCCCTGGAAGGCCCCTTAACGTAGACACACAACCTTCTGTCCTTTAGGCTGTAATCTTAGCCTGATTGTAATGCTAATGTTGGGGGTCAGTTCCCCCAAATCACGTACACACATTGGCTCACTCACCATAGTGTTACCGAGCCATACAGAGCTTCTGCTGGGCCTTTGAGATTTCTGCCATCACTCCTATTCTACGGGGGTAAAAATATTATTTTGTGCTCACAGCAACAACAAAAAAAAATACATAAAAACTTTTAGTGGAGACATCTCTACCCAGAAACCGTGCCCTTGTTACCCTCCACAGAACAGCTAGAAAGTAGTTCCAACAAAAACTTTTAACAGTAAACTCTGTGGATTGCCCTAAAAAAAACCAGGACATTGTGTCTGGAAAGGCACATTGCTGTTGAGGTTTTTTAAATGTAATTCTTTTCGGGTGCTTTTAGCTCCTCAAATCCTTTCACCTCCATTGTGTTTGTGTGGCAACAGAAATATCAGAAACTGAAACCTGGGGAAATAAAGTCTTCTTTCTCCTGGAGGACTGTAATTTGGGTGAAGCAATCTTTTAATCCTGAAGTCCCAATTTTCTCATGGTCTTCTGAAGAAAGTAAAGACCTTTTTCTTTCAGTCTAAAAATGGTATTCATAAAGAGTAAAGACACGTCAGAGTCAGAAGAATCCAAGCAGCCTCCCACATCTTCATTATTTTCAAGAAACCTGAAAAATCTGTAAAAATAAAATCACCTTATGTGGTTACTTCTTCCATTTTTCATTTGTTCAACTAATCTGTATATCACATGATAAAGAGGATTACAATTTCAAACTATTTGTATCCACCTTTTGAAAAAAACAACTATGTGCAACTTTCTGTTGTTGTAGAAAATAGACTCTGTTTCAGGTGCTTAATTCACCAATAAAAACCTCTCCCGACTTTACATTTCAAGTCATTTTACTGGTGATTTCCCAGATATTGAAAACACATTTGGGGGGTTAAAATGATGGAGGACCCTGAGGGGACAAAGAGGAGGGTGAAGCACTATTGTATCCATTGCGTCGTTCTTGTAATAAGAGTAGAAATGCTGAATTGGAAGATAAAACCTCAGTCTGATGTTGTTTGATGCATATTACACGTCTCATATAGACATAACCAGTGACATTTTATGTAAAATAGGGTAAGTATACAGTAGTCTCCTTCTCCCTGGGGACTTTATTGTTCCGGCTCATCAAGTGTGCATCCTTGTGCTTTATATCTGCACCTGAGACTTTTTTTTTTTTTCACGGCTGCAACCAACACATTTGCATCCCCCCCCCTTGGTTTTCCCTGCAGACGTCATTGTTCCGCCTCATCTGATGTGTGTATGTTTGACCTTTTGCCCCTTTTTTACCACCCAGGGGAGCTGGAGGAGGAGATGGAGAATCCAGAGATGTCGGACCTCCCCGAGAAACAGAAACACCAGCTCAGACACAGAGAGCTCTTCCTGTCCCGTCAACTGGAGTCTTTACCCGCAACACATATCAGGTACACTGCTGTCCACCACCCTGGTATTGAATTATATTATTATTGGATATTTTTTTCTTTTCATTTCAGATTTTTCTCACCTTCTCTCTTTCCCCCAAGAATTTTGGACTCACACAGTGCAGTATTTTGATAGGAAATGCCTATCCCAGGCTGCGAATAAAGCCTCCATGCAATTCTTTTCAGCCTACTATTAAGTCCAAATGCCAATTTTCCTCAAAACAAAAACAACTTCCCGTGGAATTTATTGTTTACACACTCAAACAAATGAATCTGATAAGCTGCACTAGAAAATGACAGTTCATAGAAAACAAGGGCAGTCGCCTTGCTTCGTTGTCAGAAGTCCTTTCGCTTGTTTTGAAAATAAATAGACTTTCACTGTTTAAATTTAAAGTTTTATTCCTTAAAAATGTCAGTCTTGGATTATTTGGTGCAAAACCTGTGGTTACCGTGGTAACAGCAAGTGGGGTTTAATACTACAGCAAACACTCTTTGAGCAGCTAGTTACAACAGGAGAACAACTGGTGTATCTGTTTACTGTGCAGCTCTGCAGCAGGACGTAGTGAAGTCGGTAAAATGACCATATAGAGCAAAATCCAGACTTTAAATATGATTTAAAATGGAGGTTTGATTTCATGAAAATCTGAAGGATTGAGTCTGCAATTAACTATTATTTACAGTATTGCTTTAATCTTCCAATTATTTTTTTGATTCATTGCTTTGTCTACAAAAAAAATTTAAAATGTGAGAAATGCCACAGTAAATATAACATCCTAGAGCAACAAGGCGATGTCTTCAAATGTCCTGTTTGTCCAGCCAACAATCTGTAACCCCCCACACGTCCAGAAAAAGAGAGACAGTTTTCCAGTCATGGAAACACCTGGAAATTGTTTAAAATGACCAAATATCCTGGAAACAATCGATGTTGTCCTGGAAATGTTTAATTGTATTTTAGCCCCGTGCTCAGATGGCCTGCATAAACCTGGGTGGGTTTCTGCACGAGGCCGCAGCGCGCCTGTGGAGAGCCAACAGCAAAGCACACCATGAAAGTGAGATAATGCAGAGTGTGTAATGAACCTGAGGCACTTTATCACAAACCCTGCATCACTGAACAAGGAGGAATAAAACCGGGGTTAAATCAGTGTGTCAGTATTAGGCCCAACGCTAAAATATACGACTGTTTGTGAGCAAGTGCTGTTCTGTATTGTCAAGATTTCCTGTAGGAATCCAGCAGCATATTCTCACATTTGCGAACTTGTCAGATAAATGGCTTTTTTGCTTGAAAAGTGAACATTATCAATTATCAAAATAATTGCAGATTAATTTTCTTTCGATCAAGTAATTAAAAGAAAATAACTTATTGTTGCAGCTCTATTAAACTAGGTGTTCGAGATAGCAGAAATTAAGTAGCAATAAAAGCATTTAATCTGACACTGATCATACTGGTTTTTTAATGACCTTCGAGATTTCATGAAGTAGTTTGACTGTTAACCCATTTTTTTCAGTTTCTGCTGCTCCGACTGTTCAATAACTTCCAGATTACATTGCATAAACCTCTTTATCCTATAATGTACGTAAAGCAAATTTCTACCTTTTGGATTCTGTGCTGTAAGAACGGCAGTTTGGTAGATGAAGATGTGATCATGTATTTATTCCTTCAGTCACATTATCTGCCAAACGTGCGTCTGAAAGATGTTTTGAGCCCATCAGTCCTCAGTTGACTCAAACCAACTCAAAAACAATCCACTCATATGCAGCACGGCACTAAATGTCACCAGAAAGCTGTTTCTACATATAGAACTGTCTCTGTGCATTTTTGTGCATTAGTAATCTCCAGGCAAACCCAACTAATCATTACCAAATTATTACTTGACATTTCTGAAAAGACGCAGGAAGAGCAAACTGACATCTGCTCAAATAAAAATACTCAGATGAGGCGTTTGTTTAGAGAGGATTCAGACTTGATTAAGATTTCTGAGTTAATACCAGCATGCAGCAAGGTTACAGGAGGTGTTTGACTTTATTACCATGCCAAATCATATTTGCTCCAGGCTAGAGAGGTATGACTAATTAGCTGGTAAATAATTTGAATTCAGATGGTGGCAGTTAAGGGACAGAGATGAGTGCTGCCAGTGTCAACACACTGGACCCTGATTTGTCAAATAACAGGCTGTTCCAGCTGGAACCGAATCAAATACCATCGTCGCAGGTTCTGTTCCTACATCAAAGTATCCGCTTAGACAGTTTCTGTTGCAGAGGAGAGCTTGGACCCAGAGTAGCAGCTTTCATCTGGCACTTATGTAATGTATTATCCCCTGATCTTTAAGTCTTGTCTGTCATTCTGTGTTTCACATGTTAAGTATTCACTCTTCCCGCCCTCCCCTCCCATGTCCTTCCCTTCCTTACATCCTCCAGGGGGAAGTGCTGTGTGACACTGCTGAACGAGACAGAAGCCCTGAAGTCGTACCTGGACAGAGAGGTATGTACACCGGCTCTGTGTGCCAGATAATACGTTGGGGTCTTCTAAACTGTGATTAGGTGTGTTGGATTTCAGGATTGTGTGTGTTTATGCGTGTGTGTGTGTGGGGGGGGGGGGACTTATGAGTTAAGAGATTCTTGTTTCCAGATGAATTATTCAACGTGTTGACCCAGAATGTTCTTTTCACATACAGTAATGAGGAGACGAGAGACTAGCAGAGGGGAAAGTACACGCACACACACATGCAGAGACAGATACACTCCTCTCTTTCGCCTCTGCCCGTCTCGCTTCCTGTTCCTTTCATTCCGTCCTCACGCCTTCCTGCCATCTGTATTTCCCAGGATGCCTTCTTCTACTCGCTGGTGTATGACCCTCAGCAAAAGACTCTGCTCGCTGATAAGGGGGAGATCCGTGTCGGGAACAAGTTCCAGGCCGACATCACTGACCTCCTGAAAGAAGGTACATCATACTTAAAGTTTTGGGTGTTTTAATTGACAGTTTTCCAGATAAGTTCATTCACAGAGTAGCACTTTTCCTGCAGGCGTCTTTTACACTGCAGTGTACTGATTTAGTTTTTTTGTTTTTCAGCATTTTTTTTTCAGCATAAATAGAGCAGCCTGAGCCATAATAAACTACTCAACTTTTTTTAATTGCTCAGTTCTCAGAAACATTTGATGGACTTTAAGCTTCCTTTTCTGCTCCGAGCCACCATTTACTTTACTTTCTTTTACAAGTAAAGTTATAATAAAACAACTAACCTAGGTTTCCATGGCAATCACAGCGTGGCAGCATGATTATATGTAATCAAAGCATTTGAAATAACAGATTATTGTCTATGTGCTGCACAAGTGATGATTTTACACGGAGAGTAAGGATGGGTTGCATGATGTTCCTCGAAAAGAACACAACTTCTAAAGTCAAAACACTAATGAATGCATACAGGCAAGCATATGTGTGTATGAATGAACCTCGGATACAGTAAAACGAGCACCTGTATTGTTTCCCTTTCTGTAGTTTCTCTGGTTGCTATGGTGACATGGCGAGCCACTGCTGCCGACCTTGGCGGCATGTCTGAAACCGCTCGCTGTCTGAAAGTACCTAAAGCAGCAACTATTCATACTGTATGGTTCGCATCTGAAAGCTGATTAGAAATGTGGCCCCTAATTTAAACTCTGAAAAAGTCATTGCACAAGGTATAATGTCTAAAGTCAGAGTTCAATAACTTTGAAACTCGTCCAAAATATTAAAAAAATTTTCATTCAAGCAGTCTGAAAGATATTTTCCAGACATTTTGCATCAGCATTTTGTGCAGATATTAAGTATTTTCAAATGTGAGTGTTTTTCTGCCAAATTTAGGGTTCAGTGTTTTGCCAGATTTTTATTCTTAGCAGGTGGGAAAACCTCTGAAATTGCAATTAGGGCACCATGGGACACTAAGCTCTCTAATTAAACCCATGTTAATGAAATTCTGTTACATGTGTTAGAAGCTCAGGCAGGTTGGCTGGTTTGTTGCAGGCTGGCAGCTTGACAGACCCCACCTATTCAACTCTGGGATTCATTAAAGCTTTACACAAGTTAGTCATTTTGTAAAAGGAAAACCAGGACAAAAATCTAATTTGATTGTGGATTATACAAACCTATTGTACACATGTGGTCAATAAGGAACCATTGTGGCCTTGAACGGCAAAGCAGAATTAACTGTATATCTGTCTTCTGCGCCCATCTAGGTGAGGAAGACGGCAGAGATTTGGAGAAACTAGAGGAGAAGGTCTGGGACCCCAACAGCTCACTGACGGAGAAACAGATTGACCAATTCTTAGTAGTAGCTCGGTGAGTAAACGCCAAACTTTTTTGCTGGGAGATAGTTCGAAAAAACTGATACCAATCTCATATCTTTATGTTGAATATGAAGCTTCAGCCAAGAGATGGTTAGCTTAGCATAGCATAGAGACTGGAAGCAAGGGGAAACAGTTGGCTTGTCTCTGAGTGATACAGTGTGTTAATGTTGTTTTAATAAGTGAGCTTTAGAGGTGGTGGTAGGTGGATTTTGTTTCCCTTGGCCAGAGCCTGGCTAGCTTTTCCCCCCTGCCCCCCTGGTCTAGTGCTAAGCTAAGCTTACTGTCTCCTGGCTCCTGCTTCATATTTATGTATTTTACATTTCAAGAGTGGTATTGATCTTCTCAACTAACTCTGTCTTAAAGCAAATAAGTATATTCCCCACAATGTCAAACTATTCCTTTTAAACTATGTGAAACTTTTCCTAACATTGGTGATTTCTCTTTTTTAGAGCTAGATGTGGGCGCTAGTTTTAGCCCCTTCAGTGCTAATTAGCTGGAGTTACATGAACTCTACATGGAGAAAGTAAAAATAAAATTAAGTAAAACTTTCCTGTCTTTTCTTATATATTTTTTTTTCTTAATCTTTTGCATCATGTCTGTGTCCCATAGGTCAGTAGGTACATTCGCCCGAGCCTTGGACTGCAGTAGTTCTGTCCGACAGCCCAGCCTTCACATGAGTGCTGCTGCAGCCTCCAGAGACATCACCTTGGTGAGATACAAACACTCACACACAAGACACACCACAGATGAAACGTTTGCGGGGGAAGCAGTAGTGATAATCAAAGAAAACGCTTGTCGTGCACATGTGTATTTATGTGTGTGTTTGTGTGTCTGTTAGTAAATGTTGAGGCCTGTCTCTGGTTATCCTTAACAAGCACTTGGCCCCAGAAGCTTGGTGCGGGTCTATTCTGCCCTAGATCTTATCCTCATATATAAAACATAGATGAGAGGCCTTCTAGTTTCCCACATGCACACACAAACCAAAGCCCAAAGCCTTAGACAAGGGGCTGCATATAAACTCGGTGGACTAAACAAATAAAAATTAATCATACTCCTCTCAACAAGTCAGCAGAATGTTGCAGAAATTCGTTCAGACAACGTTAAAATAACCATAACAATTCCTGAGACTAACGTGTATTTCTGTCTTGTATTTTAGTTTCACGCCATGGACACCCTCCATGCCACGGGCTATGACATGACTCGAGCCATCGCAGCGCTGGTGCCTCAGGGTGGGCCCGTCCTCTGCAGGGATGAAATGGAGGAGTGGAGCGCCTCTGAGGCCAACCTGTTTGAGGAGGCACTAGAGAAATACGGCAAAGACTTCACAGATATCCAACAGGATTTTGTAAGTAGCAAACCCAACGAAAAAACAGTTTTAAGGAATAGTTTGACATTCTGGGAAATATGCTTATTAAGTTAGATGAGGAGATCAGTACCACTCTCATATCTGTCCGTAAAAGACGATACTGCAGACGCAGGATGGTTAGCGTTAAAGCTGGAAACAGCTAGCCATCTTAAAGCTAAAAGAAATACGCCTGGCGCCTGTGTCACCTGGCAAGCTCACAGTGACAGCAAGAATCCAGGAAGTCTGGCACATAACCTTCATTATAACCACAACGTGTTGTTTGTACAGTTTGCTTTTGAACAGATTAAACAAACAAGATAGAGTTGCTGGTAGACGTATTTCGAAAACTGCAAATAAAACAGCTGCGGGTCAACTTGAGAGGAATTTTCTTCGAAAACCTCCTGAAATAATTTGAAAATCTATATTCAGTTAAGTTACTAGATAGGATGATCGTGATTATCAGGCTGTACGATTTGAGGAGAATCAGGGACATCTTATAGTCTGGCTTTTTTTATATATTCTTTTGGGGCTTTTATTGCCCTTTTAATTGAAAGAGACAGCTAAAGAGTGACAGGAAGGGGCAGCGAGGGGCTGACACGCAGCAAAGAGCTACAGGTCGGGGTCGGTCGCTGCAGCAAGGACTCAGCCTTGGTACAAGGGATCGCTGGCTCTACCAGCGGAGCTACCAGGGCGCCCCACTATGGCAATTTTTGACTACAGCTGACATTTTAATTTAATCAAATGAAATGTTTGTAGAAACAAACATAAGACTGGTATTGGCAAGAAAGTCAACAAGCGTTTTTTTCCCCACAATGTGAAACTATTCCTGTAATTGTGGAGAATTGTGTGTCGGTCATGTTTTATATATCATATCTCCGCGTGGTCGGGTTCTTTTATTAAGAGTGTTCAGAGACGACACATCGAGCACTTGGTATGCTGCTCATCTGCCCATACGTGGGATGCCCATAGTCACATTTAGAGATGTGTGCAGTAGGTATAGTGCAGAAACCACAGAATTAGAGTTCTGTAGAACGTATTTGGACCTGATTTAGACATTTAGCTGATGTTTTACAGAACAACTCTCAAGCACAATAGTAGTCTTGTAAGCTAAGAATTAAAATGTTAGAGCTAAGCACAATGGCCAATTATCCCAAGAAACATTCCACAGAAATGTCTTTTGAGAAAACTAACTAAAGGCAGGAGAAAGCTGCCTTTCTGCTGCAGCCCCTCGCTGTCCTCTGTGCTTTCAGCCTGAGAAGAATGGTGCTGCCGTTTGTGGACTTTACTACACATTGTGCTAATCTCTTACTGTGTGCATCACTCCACCACCTGGTGGCTGGCTGCTGTCAGTGCTGCTCACTCAGGTTTCCACCCAGGCCTTCTCTCAAACAACAGGACTACACCACCATTATGGGTGGGGCCTCAACTTGACAGCTCTTTTTTTTTTTTTGCTTTCAAACTTCTTGGAGGGAACTTTACATTGCAACTTCAGTAGGTTCAAGCTGATTCTGTGGCCAGTGGTGGTGTTTTGGTCATTTTGTATAAAGAATCTCTTTCGTATAGAAAGTTATTTATGCGACAGATGAGGAAAATACAGCTAACTTGAGGGATTTGTGTTAAAAATAATCGTCTTTTAATAGACGACCTGAAGGTTTTTAGGTCATGATAATGTAGAAATGTAGGGTCCTGACTGTGTGTGTCTGTGTGTCTGTGTGTCTGTGTGTGCAGACAATCTTCTTGAAACCCAGCAACCTCTCAGTCTGCTAATAATAATTATTTTGTGCCCTCTCTCCTTCCCCAGTTGCCCTGGAAGTCTCTGACAAGTATTATTGAGTATTACTACATGTGGAAGACCACAGACAGATATGTACAGCAGGTAAACACATTCAGTACACTTTTTTAATGGTTATTACCTTTCTTTAAAGCTCAATAACTGTTACAGGTTGATCCTTTTGTTTGCATCTCATTTACATCCATAGTGAAAAAGGAATATGGTTTATTCTTTTACACCAAAAAGCCCTTAAAGTCTTTTAAAGTCTTAAAATCAAAACATCCTTATGGGGTTCTGAACTCACAGTTGATAATTGTATTCCTTAAATGCTTTACACTTGAATGTTTTACACTTTAAATGCTGTTGTTTTTTTATACTAGCGCTGTGGGAAGTTACATCTCTAATCACACCTTCATTTCTCTGCTTTCTCCTCAACCTCTGTCTCTGCTCCAGAAACGATTAAAAGCAGCCGAGGCAGAAAGCAAGTTGAAGCAGGTCTACATCCCTAACTAGTGAGTACATCAGTGCAACTCCGAAGTCCTCATTTGAATACAGTGAGATATCAAGAAAGAGTTGTTCTGACCCTCCCAGCAACATCTCTGCTAAACTCGGACATCTGCTGCTGTTGTTAGAGCACAAACCCCTTCTTTCACTTCATTAGTATTCCTGACAGCTCTCAGTACAGTATCAGTATAACTGCTGTCTCTGCGAGCAGCAGACTGCTGAATGTTATCTATTCTCTTTGGCCTGAATTATCTCTGCTGGTCTGACCCTCTCCCTGTCCCTGTGCCCCTCCAGTAACAAGCCAAACCCCAACCAGCTGAGTAACAATGTAAAACCAGCCCTGGTGAATGGAGCGGCTGGTCCGGTGGGTTCGGTGGGTCCAGCGGGTCTGGCTGCTCAGGTGGGTCTGGCTGGTCAGATGGGTCCGGCTGGTCAGGTGGGTCCGGTGGGTCCAGCAGGTCCAGCGGGTCCAGCGGGTCCAGTGGTCCCAGGTCTTCCAGGTTCAGTGCCGACCCCTGGCCTCGGCAGAGCCTGTGAAAGCTGCTACAGTGAGTCATTCCCACGTGTAACACTGCTGTCGTCTAACTGCAATAGCTGCTGATTGAAATTAAAATTCATTACCATTGGCCTAATTTATTTAGATTTTAGTAAGTCTTGGTAAATTGTACGTGATGAACTTAAGATAATTGCTTTGGCATTCACGGGTGCAATCATACTTTAAAGAGGCTGTTGCATATTGAAAATACTTCAGCCTTGAATGAAAAAAATGACAGAATCTAAGAGTTCTCGAAATACATTTGACAAAACGGCTAATATAAGATAACATGAATGCAGGTGATCTGCTATACTGACAATATCAGAGAAAGTAAGTGTTGACAAAAGGTCCTCCTCTTAAATTTACTTATGCACTAAAGCACCAAGCAGACGGTTTATAATCTTTCCACTCTTGTCGAAGAGGAAATTGTGATTTAGTGTGCACGCAGGGCCAAAACAAAAAAGGAAAAGTTAATTTTTAAGCATCTGTAGTCAGTTATTAATGTAATGATCTGGTGTTGTTAAACGCTTGTTTACATCTTTATTCGTAAACACAACAGTAAAACATCTTTAATATGATGTGTATTTATGATTTCTGTGTTTACTGATTCTTCTTTTCATTGTAAGATCAACCACATCCAGCTTAAATCTTCCAACAACCAAATACTGAACTTGTGTTCTTCAGTGAATCTTAAAAAGGGAACAACCCTCGTCTGAGCTTTCATTAACACATCGTTGCAATAACTCAACCTAAAGCATTCATTTACGTTTTCATTTTAAAACTGATCATTTAGAGCACAGATCAACGCTGTACTGTCAGCATGAGGCGCACTTTTTTTTTTCCTTTATTAAAACGGAGAGGAGAGAAAATATCATTACATGCCCCGCAGCAGAGAATTATTCGACTTATTTTAGTGGTTGTAGTTAATTCAATGATGAATGATTAAAGGATGTGCTCTTGTTTGCATGCACACAAGCACGTGTTTATGATTGTGTGGATTATGAACCATCTTGAGCACGTTTTCTATATATGTGTGTCCACTGCGCTCACTTTGCTTTGTGTGTCTGTGTCTGTGTGTCTGTGTGTGTGTGTGTGTGTGTGTGTGTAGCCAGCAGCTCCTACCAGTGGTACTCGTGGGGACCTCCTAACATGCAGTGCCGCCTGTGTGCTTCATGTTGGACTTACTGGAAGAAGTACGGAGGGCTGAAGATGCCCACAAGACTGGATGGAGAGAGGCCTGGACCCAACCGCAACAACATGGTACAAACTAACGCACACGCACGCTTCACTGGACATTTCATTTACTTATTCTGCAAAACCCCAAACAACAGGCCTACTGTTTGCCTAAAGGCTTACTCTACCCTTAAAGCAATAGTTAGAAGAAAGAAGAAAATCTTTTTTTTCTTCTCATCCTCATGTAAGTCGAACCACCAGTTGAAGTTCGTACGGTCATTAGGGCTTGCTTGTTTCATGATCGATTTAATATGCACATAATTTTCTCAATTAATCAATTCATCTTTTTGGCTTTAATATGTAAAAACAAGGTGTGTTATGATTTCAAAACAAAGACAGGATTCAAGTCCTTCCACTTGAGAAGGTCAAGCCAGCAAATGTTTGGTATTTTTTGTGTGTATAGTTGTTTGAAAAGGTAGTAAATTAAATAAATGTTCTGTTAATTGACAAATCAATTCATAAAATTTTTTGTTTCGGCACTGTTTATATCACAAACAGCTAGCGTATTGCAATCAATTCAAACACCTTAAACAGGATAATCACAGACAAACACTGTTGGAGGATAACCTGGGATCCTTTCATAAGTCTTCACTGTAACTTAATGCTTTACCATAAGTTTGTTTCTGCATTTAAAACCTTTTAAAACTGTATGCAAACACATTTGTGTGTACGGTCAATAAGCCAGATTAAGCACCACATACATAAATCAATTTCAGGTAACAATTGAGTAACCCAAATGTTTTCTTTGCCATCAGTCAGGTGAGAATTTAACTTGTACCCAGTTCATCAGTGTTCATTAGAAGTGTAAACTGTTACTACACAAACACACACTGCTGTACATTTATGGTATCTAACGGTTATTAATCTATTTGTCCCTCCAGAGCCCCCATGGCCTGCCCCTGCGGCACAGCGGCAGCCCCAAGTTCGCTGTGAAGACGCGGCAGGCATTCTACCTGCAGACTACCGGACTGACGCGGATGGCACGCCGCCTCTGCCAGGACATCATCAGGCCGCGATATCTGGCCAGGCACCCCTACCTCCCCGTCAACACAGCAGCCATCAAGGCCGAATGTAAGGACCTGTTAACCTTTACACAGTGCTTATATTGTCAAAGGGAAATGATGGCGGTACACAATCACGACACAATCCATTGCAACTCACTAAAACATCATTATTATAAGTCATTATTCAGACGGAGTGTGTAAGTTTACGGTATTTTTGCAATGGATTTCTACAGGCGCCCTGCGGTTGCCAGATGGCCCCAAAAAGCCTTTGTCACTGAAACCTGTGGAACGTAAACCTCTGGAGTCTGTGGTTCGGTATTTAGGTAAGAAGGAGCCCATCAGCCATCACATCTCTTACGTTTCTGTTTTCAGTCTGTTCAGCCACTCCAGTGACATTGCTCTATGGGGATGGTCCACCGCTTTGGTCCTGACAGAAGATGAACCTTTTAAAGACTTTGTTGATCCCCTGACGTTTTCTCTAGCGCCGCTGTGAGTTGAAATGTCTCAACAACCCCCCTCAGGACGAATTATAATCATTTTCATGACCTCTTAACATTAACATCCAGTACTTTAGTTCATGACCAAACACCTTAAAAGCATTCCCATTGGCGCCCGGTTAGCTCAGTCGGTAGAGCTGGCGACCCATATATACGGAGTTGCTGCAGCAGCCCGGGTTCGAATCCAACCTGCAGCCCTTTGCTTTCCCTCTCTCTCTACCCCCCTTTCCTGTCGATCTTCAGCTGTCTCTATCCAATAAAGGCATTCCCATCACCCTAACCAAGCCTTTACTTTGTGTTATGTGCTAATTAGCTAATGTTAGCATGCTGAAACACTAAACTAAGCCGGTATAAACATTATACCTGCTGAACATCAGCATGTTCGCATGGTTATTTTGACCATGTTAGCATAAGGCTGCTATCTAGTCTTGTTTACCTTTGATTGCTATAATAACATTGCTTTTTACATATGTAAATAAGTGTAAAAGTGCAAATATCTTGAGTTATTTCAAATCCATGGTATTCATTTTGAGTTATCTATGCATATATTTAGCATATATTTGTTGTTTGTTACTACCTCTCTCACTTTCTCTCCTCTCTCTTGCCTACAGAAGCACATCCCCGTCCAGCCAAACCCGACCCCCCGATTCGTGGAGGTTCCATCTCTACAGGCAGCCTGACGCCCATAAAGTCCTCCCCCATCCTCAACAATGGCTCACCCACCATCCTAGGCAAACGCACCTATGAACAGCACAACGGACTGGATGGTGAGAGGAGCTTTGATTACTCTGTGGGTGTGTGGGTGTGTGGGTGTGTGTGTGCGTGTGTGGCGTGTGGGTGGGGGTGTGTGTGTGTGTGTGTGTGTGTGTGTGTGTGTCTTGTATCATCATTATATATTATGATTTTAATAAGTAATTAGTTCTTATAGAATATCAGAACCCTTTTTTTAAACATCTAACTTGATTAAAAGTTGGAAATGAAAAAAAAAAGATAATTTAGTAATTACTTGGTAGTTTTTAATGAGACTTTTAATGAGATATGATATTTTATGAAGGAAATGACGTGAAAGGTTTTTTGCGTTCGTTTATGTGTCGACTCTATAGGCAGTTGTTTGTCTGTATAAAATAAGTGGATTAGAATCATTGTCATTTAAACAAATTTTAATGTCATGGCTTTGTCATTACAGCATCATTTTAATTATTTTTAAACTACATTAACACTAGCATTTATGTCAAATGTAATACATTTTAGCTTAAGCTTTAATGTATTTGCTCGACATTGATCATCTTAATATTTGAAGAGAACGTAAAAAGGCACATCTGAGCTTCGCGGCTCACTCGATGGCTTCCACACACAGTTAAGATCCACTGCCGAAGGGTTAAGAGTTTGTGTGGGGCTCCAATTTTTTTGGGTTATGTCCCACTTTCCCCTCTCCCCTGTGAAATGAGAGAGGGGAAGAGACAGACTGAGAGATCAAGAGAGTGTGAGAGTGTGCCAGAGAAAGACCGAAAGGAAGAGGGAGAGAGGGAGATTGCGAGAGGATCGGATCGGCCTTGCCGCTTTAGCTGGAGGCTACAGTCTATGTTGTCATGGTAACAGCGGAGAGGAAGAGGAGGAGGAGGGCTTGGTAAGTGTATCCTGAGGGAGAGCATCTCCACTGGTCTGTGAGCCCACCTCAGGCCCCGGCTGGGATAACGCACCATGAGGAGATTTGGGTTGGAAATCAGCCAGGCTGAAGTATTAGGGATTACTTTTTATTTTACCACCAGTTTACCAACTCAGTCGTTCATATCTTTATTTATATTGTTTTGGTTTTTTTAAATTGAAGTCTAACAGTTGTTGCATTATTTATTTAGTTTTATTAATTAAAAGGAGAGTTATTTCTGTACTTACAGTGTGTGCTGTGCAGTCATCTGTATCAGTGAAACTTAAAGGATTAGTTCAACATTTTACTGAGAGAAGGTCGAGACCACTTTCACGTCTGTGCTGAAAATATGGAGCCAAGGGGGGAACGGCTAACCTGACACTCTCCACAGATCAGAAAACCACCTCCTACTAACTAAAAAGTTTAATAATTAGCATGTTGTATCTTGTGTGTTTTATTTGTATACAAACATCAATGTAAAAACAATCATTTGTGGCTATAACAAGATAGACTGAATTTATTCTCTCTAAATGATCAACTTTTCTTTACATTTTGGCTGTAGATTGAGTAAAATCCGATGTTATTTATGTAGATCAAAATAACAAATCACAGGAAAAAAGTGGAAGAATATTCAGGAAGAGCCACAAACGACAAAGAGACATGCAATAGATGAAGAGTGTACCAAAGAAGTCAATTAAAATCACATTATATGCTAATTTAACACACAATTTCTGACGTTGAATATTATACAAACTATCTGGAAAACTATGGATCCAGGAGGACGTTGAAACAACATTAATGTGGCTGCGGAGCATTAAAATCACTCCCTGCTGATTATGTAAATTTGCAAATGTAGTGGATAACACCTGCTCTCCTTTTGGTTTGGATCCCCGCCAGCAGTTTATGAAGCCATATTTGTTCTGTCATGTCAAACCTCACGGGGGTAGCAAAGCACATGTTGGTTTCCACTGAAGTTAGACGTAATCCGGGTAAAATAATGAGTAATACCGATTCCTGTACAATATATCAGGTATGTTAATGAATATTTATTAAGATAATTTGCTGAATATCTTCTGGAGTGTTTTTACTGTCTCAACTCAAATGAGAGTAATCAAGACAAATGATTAAAAAGATATACTAGTTCTTTTTATTCTGTAGATTTACTAAAGGAATTAGTACTTAATAGAGCCACCAGGGGGCAGAAGATTTTGTCCTTTTTAGTTGTAGTGGTATCAGTGGACTGACCGGCCTCTCTTGTACTCTTCCTCCTCTGCAGGCACTAAATCCAAAGCCCTGACTCCACAGTGGGACATCATGGCCAAACGGGTGAGCGAGGCGGCGCGGCCCTCGGTCTCCCTGCAGGACGAGGTACATGAACTGGACTGAACGCTCTGTGGGAACGACCTCTACTACAAACCCCGGTGAGGTGAGAGACGCACCGCTGCGCTTAAAGTGAAAAAGTTCAGGCTTTGTGACGTACTCTCTTCCCTGAAGGAGATTTATACCGGCTGCTTCTGTGCAGAGCTAAATGAAACTTCAAATAGAGTCGAGTCTCCCTCTGTTGTCTGTTTAATGTCTGTAATGCACGATATGCATCTGTCTTGACCCTAAAACAATAATAATAATTAACCCCGAAGGCATTCGAACTAAAGTAATGAGCCTGTTTTGAGTAGAAAGTACAGATATTTAAAGATGGAGGGGGTAAAAGTAAAAAGAAAAATAAATACCCAACTAAACTACAGATATCTGAAAAAGCTACTAAAGTATTTGTACTATTACTCCTCACCTCTGTCCGGTACACAAAAAATAAACACATAAAAATCTTTTACCAGCCAACCGGTGACCCCAGTTTATATTTTACGCAATAATGAAATACTGCACTAGTGTTTGTTTTTTGATGGACAAGAAACCCAGACAGGCGAAGCTGAAGAGACTCCACACAGCAGAAGCGCCGTCTGAAGTACAACGCTATCCTCCAATTGACAGCACCGGATTACAATAACCCCCTCAGCCTTCGTCTCGCTCGCTCTGGAAACAAAACTCCGCCTGGTCTGCTAATTATTCCACTTGGCCACAGCTGCTGCGTTTGCATCCCGCGGCTCCCCAGCGTTTGGGTTTAAGGTAGTGACCCTGTTAACTAGCAACTTTCGGCTGAACATGTTGACTTTATTCGGGTGAAAGTCGCCAGATAACAGAGTCACAGACGCAGGAGGCAGGAGGAGGAAGGCTGCAGGTACTAAGAGTAAACATTAGCAATTAGCCATCTTAAATCACAGCTACAGCCCGATGACAAATCCCACATTTACCTGCATTTGGCACTTTACAAGTGTTCATTTTGGAGCCTTGATATTCTGATGGTACTGTTCAGATTTTTGCCAAACAGGTTTGGTGTAGAAGCACCTTTTTTAAAGGTTTTTTTTTTTGGTGAGTTATAGGAGAGATCAGTTGCATTTCAGCTGTAAACTGTTACCAAGTTTAAAAGAAGATATTGAGTGCTTTAACTGTACATTGCATATAACATATAACCGTTACTCTGTCCTGTAATAATCCTGATCGCTGTCCTGTGTTTGTGTGTTTTTCGCAGCAGAGGGGGACATGAAACGGAAAGGCATTTTCCAATAAACCATAGCCGAGGGCAGCTGAGGGAAGTTGAAAGGAGAACGACAGCTTTGGCCACCTTTCTTCAGTCAGTACGGGTCTGTCACGCTTGCTGAAGACCAATCGATAATCGATCAGTTTTGGCTGTGGTCAATCAGAAGATGAGCCTGACTGTACAGGACTGTGTTTATTACTTACATTTCTCGTTATAACTGTCATTGTAATTATTGTTATTGTTATTATAATTTTTTTTACCAACTATAACTCAGCTTATTGTTTGTCGATCAAACGATGGAACTTGTGAAGTTTCATGAAAAACGCTTGCAGAGCCCTGTGGAAGAAAGGGTGGAAGGACTGTAACATAAGCCACTTGCATCTTCTATGTCTTTGTTTTTTTTTGTTGTTGTTGGGTTTTTTTTTAACAAGTTTAAAATTCAACAAGGAGATGCACTTTTATTTCAGCAACATGAGTTAACTCCTTGTCTTTTTTTTTTTTTTTTTTTTGTTTCACTGAATTTGAATGCTTTACTGGGATATCTTCTGTTTTGTGAGCCGGCCCTGCTCTTCGGCCAGAGAGGTTTAACTTATTGAGAAAGACTTGCTGTTTTTTCTACCTTTTTCACAAGTAATGCATCTATGCTTAGATAATGTAATTAAAAAAGATAATTGATTTTTTTCCCCCTTCCTTCTTTTGGTGTCCATGCACGGAGGTGAAAGGTGTCAAAACTCGCGCTGAATGTTGTTTTTTTTTTTTTCCCAAGTCCTTTTTTTCTTACTCACAGGTATCTAAACAGGGTAAATGCAAAATAACTTTTCATTCCAAATTGCTTTATACGTTTTGTGCCTAAAAAAAAAAAAAAATAATATGTTCTTTATTGGAAGAGAATAAATGCACAAACACAGCCATGTTTTTGTAAGCAAACATAAAAAAAAACAACTAAAAAAAGCAGGAATGTGTTCTGCTTTCATGTCCAGTCATTTTTTGTCAACGTGTTTATTTTATGTTCATTATTAGCTTGTCTTCATTGCATACAACTCCTCAGTCGCAGGGCTGTTTTAAAACATCAGTCGTAGTGTTTCTATCGGTCAATACAAGAAAATATACCAATACCCAACACATCTGCTGTTGCAGTTATTTTTGTATCTCTGTCCATTTTAGATACCGAGCATGACCGTGCCTTCTTCAAACAGCCCTAATGATAAATTTTATTTATAACGCCCTTAAGGACAAGGATGAACATGCACATGAAGGAGCAGAATAACACCACCAGCTGAAAACAACAAAATAAAGGAGGAAATACATTAAAGAAAAAAGAAAAAAAACAATAAAAGAAAATTGCTTCCTGTTGTAAGTTGAGCATTGTGTTGCATCAGAGTGCAAAAAAGGACAAAAGGTAAGTTATTATACATACAAACACATCCATAAATACATCAAGTGTAACTATTCTGTATGCATAACATTGAATATACACATGCAACCAATTATGTGTTGCATTATACAGACATAAAACATTTTCCAATGTTATTTTTGACTCCAGCCTTTACTCTGGCTCAACTATCTCACCCACATTCAAAGATTAAACTGTTTTTTACTGTCATTAACACCCTTTTAAAGAACCCACTGATACTTTTTACTTTTTTTAAAAAATGTTCAGTGATTAATTATTGTCTTTTTGTAGCTTTTTAAATATAAGCTTTTTTCCCCCCCATCGGAACAATGTTCAGGTCTTTCCTTCATCATCCTGTAAAGGTTCCAGTGTGTAGGATTGAGTGGCATCTACCGGTTGTATTTGCAGATTAAAATCCCCTCACTTCACCCTCCTTTTCCAAGCATGAAGGAGGAACTATGGTGGCCATGAAAATGTGCACAAAAAAAAATCACGTAAACACCTGTTTAGAGCCAGTGTTTGGTTCGTTCCTTCTGGGCTACTGTAGAAACATGGTGACCTGTGGTGTTAAAGGTTCATTCTGAGGTAAAGAAAACGTAAAGATTTCTATATTCAGGTGAAAACGTATGAATATTATGTTCTATTTCTGCAAATAGATCCTCCTAAATATGTTACACAATGGACCTTTAAATCACCAAACCTGGTTAAAGGGTAACTATAAACGATTATAAAGATTATAAACATGTAAGTCACTTTTTAAAGGAAAGTGCTTTATGTGGGAAAATCAACATAAATCAGCACAATAAATTAAATAGTATAAAAGACAGGTTTTAAGAAGTGATGTAAAAGAAGTTACTACCAGTCTCAATTGAAATCCCATTTACTTGTTTAGATATGTTTTTTTTAAATGTATTAAAATCTAGTGCGTGTTTTTAGCCGATCAGAGAACCTTAAATATCCACAATGAGTCAACTCCACTGTTCGTCTGACAGCATCCTGTCCTGTGAAAAGCACAAAGTTATGTTAAAGTGCAACATCAACCACGAAGAGCGCCGGCAGCTTGCCAACAACCACTGACTCACGACTTAATGCCAGTAATCTGACGCGTACAAACACATTTTTTACTAATTGACTTGTTAAATCAGCCAAAACCAACACACACCCTGTGAAAGTAGAAAGTTGTGAGAGAAATGTAAGTAAGGATAGACCAAATTCAGACATTATTTCCTCTTTACACTCTAAATGTCTCTGATAGTTGCTGAAAGAGCTCTTGAATGCTGATCAAGACCAGGACTGTGTTCAATAATAATACTGTATGTCAGAGGTTCCCAACGTTCACAGGGGGTCCAAAGGCCTTCTTGATTATAACAAGTGTAAGAAAACCTTTTTAAAAAATATGCACAGTATGCCTTTAACTTAATATTTCATTCATTTCTGCAGAAAACTAAATGACGTTGTTCTTAAAGTTTAGATTATTAAGCTAAAAAAACAGCCTCATCCTGTATTATCCTGTATAAGTTGCAGTTAAAACAACCAAAGATACACTAGAAAACACTGAATTTATAAGAAAAAATAAGCCTATTAAGTGTGTATGAGTATTATAAAATAATACAAACACATGTTAAAGACAGAATTGTATAAAAAGTTCACAAATCTGCTCAAAATGAATCTAAATCACCTGTTTGACACAAGCCTCCTGCAGTTATTGAGTTTAGTTTATCAGTTATATTCTGTACTGTTATTGTTACTGATTGAATATAATATAAAATATCCCTAAAATAAGTCAGAGGGATTGAATGCAGATTGAATGCATAAATAAGTCCAGGCTTCGGCTACAACTAGAGCTTCATTGTAAAGCCTCTCCAGTGTCCAGTGTTGTCTTACTGAGGGGGGGGTTTGGGGGTCATTGAGCTCTTCCTCTTCTCAGTTTGAGCTCTGGAGAAACTCAATATTTATCCCTGTGTGCTAGTACAACTCTGACTCATCCATAGATTAATAGTCCAGGAGGTTATTTTCTGTTTCAGTCCGCTCGTCTGTAGGTCGATGCTGATTGCTAACATAATGACTGAGTGCGGACCCCTCCCGTCTTTACAGAACTCTGTGGAAAATGCAGTCTGTAAGGTATTTCACTATCTACCATTAACGTCCAATTTAAATCATATCTGGTTAGTAAGCGTAAAGATAACGTTATTACAATGCTTTTCAAATCACTGAGTGACTGTTCATGTCGTGTTGAAGGCCTCTTAGAACTAGAAAAGAATGAGTCGATATATCATCCTGTGTTACATTATCATATATCATCAGGTTTAATCATTTTGCCCAATGTGCAACTGCACACGAACCATTACAGCACTGTACTGTTATATACTGGTTATATCTTACTGTTAAAAGGCCCACCTCCAAATTCTTCCACACAAAAAAAATTCAACAATCGCCTACTACTGGTGTATCCCAGAGGCCACTTCTTGAATTAATAAGGTTTATTTAAAGTGCATTATCACACAAAAGTGTCCCAGAGCAAAGAAAAACAGCAGAAGAACTCCCATTTAGTGCAGCTGATTATTACAAGAATATATAATTAAAGTGTAAGATATTATGGCTTTATCTGAAAGGACAGGTGAAGATCGACAGGGAAGGGGGGGAGGACATGGAGCTCAATGGGGCTCGCACTCTACCAGGTGAGGTACTGTACGTCCATGAACAGGTGAGTTTTGAGTCCTAAAGGTTTTCAGAGAAGGTTTTGTTTTAATATAAGTGGAATAAATGTTGCACAGGTAAAGAAATAAGCCACTAAAGTTATCGACAATAGTAGAAAGCTTCTGCTGCTGTAACCTACTGAAAGATACAGAAGCCTAGAGGATAACTGTGTCTTTTATTCTGTATATAATATATACAATTAAAGCAATGCTCAGGGTTTGACTGTCCTGAATTCTACTTTCAACTATACTTTCGACTAACAACCAGTGTCCCAAATATTAGTTATTGTTTTCCATTCGACATAATAGTTGATTGACACACTCTGGTCCACCATGGAAGTTCCCTGTATTTACTATTTGTGAATAAAGAATTGAAATCACCTGAGGAGTTTGGACCACAGTTATAGTTTGTTGTTTATTTCTAACTGTTCGGTCCTTAAATGCATCACTCCAAACTGTTTGATTCGTATACGACGAACGGAAATCTACATACACAGACTATTTTGTCTCATAATCACCAAAAGAATTTGTATATTTTAAGTAAAAAGTTAAGAAAATCTACAAAGTGAGGGAGTAGATCAAACAAACTATTTAAATATAAGCTATTAGAAAGAGAAACGTGCCCTACATGCCCCACCTACTGACTGACTGCACACGTCACAAGAGGAGAGGAAGAGTCCCCGGTAGTGTTGCAGCTGTGGACTCTGAGCAAGCCTTCATGGGAATGAATTACAAAATATTGGTATAATTGTCTGAATAAGACGCTAAATTCGTCGCTTTTGAGAAATAAAGTTATTAAAACTAGCGAGAAAGTTGGCATCACTGTTCTCTCTATGATTGATTTAGTGACTTTAAAGTTATAATTTTACAAAATAAAGCGTCGCTCAAGTGTTGGGATCACCAACGCTGTACGTCACTGCAGAGTTTCTACACTCCTGTGGAAGAAAGTCTGGAAATCTAACTGAATATGCTGCAGTCGAGGCCTTAAAAGCTTGTGGAAGTGGATACAACTGACACCCTTCAAAACACTCAGTGATTTTGGAAGAATATAAAATAGAGAAAGGTGTCTCTTACAGTCCAAGAACGAGTTAGTAGGAAGGCATTACGTTAGTTTTGAGCCAAAGTACGCAGAGCTCCTGCAATAACTGATGGCAAGACCTTACACGCACTGGTTTATAACTTATTACAGCAGCCACAGCATGTGACTAAACCACCTGACCTTCATTTGAGACTGACGTCACTCACGTTTATGACACTGACGGCGATTTACAGGACTATTATTATTGGTGCAGGCGTCACCTCTTCTTGTGTGACTGGATATATGTGTGAGGGTTCATACTTCTTCAGACTCCTAAAATATTCATCCCCCACTGGACGCCCAGTGGCAATACACAAGATTACTACAAAGGTAGAAAAAGTGTGAGAAAACAACATGAAACATTCACAAAAAAAGTGTCTGAAAAGGAATAAATAAATAAAGTTTTCTGATAATTAGATATATTTTAGTTTAGTTTCAGAGCCCATTCATCTTTTATAGACACCATATAAAGATTTGGTTAATAGTTTATAAGATACTTTCCTACAAAGGCAGACAGTAAAGCTTATGTCGAGGAAAATAAGGGTTTAAAGATTAACTTAGGTTAACAGGGAATACGAGAGGAAAACACAGATTCAGCAAACAAAACGTGTTCTTTCATCAACCATTTGTTAATAATTACCATTAAAACCTATTAAACTATTTTACAGTTTGACTAATTTAAATATAACATAAACTAGCTAGTCTGCCTGTTAGTGGGACAAGTTTGGCTGTTTTTATTTGCCAACACTGGATTTATCTACTTCCTTTATTTAGTAAGTCAATTTAACTTACCGCTGGTTGCCTGGCAACCCAGTTCCAGGCACATATACGGTCCATAAAACCAACAAATTCTCAGTTTTTTCAATTTTGGTTATTGTACGTTAGACAGAAAAGATATAAGGTGTTTATTAGAGAGCTTTAGAGCTTGTAGGCATGTGTGTGTGCATTGTATGTAAT